TTTTAACCACTTAATGGTTTCTTGATCAACTTTCTTTTATGCAAGCTTCCACTGTTAGTAGATAATACCCTAACAGATTTGAATGACTTTATATACTTGCACCCCAAGTAATAGACTTTAAATAAACGATTGTGATTTTGGAGGGGGAAACCTACCATGAGAGTTCTTTTCTATGCCTCATACTGGTGAGGACTTCACAATTTATCTAGACAAAAATGGTAAGCAAAGCAAAATACACAAATTTATAGAGGGTATAACAGACTAATCCAAGCAGAACAGCTTGAAGCACAAAGTAACAAATTAAATCTACGTAGTTCTCAAAGGGGTTGGACTTTGACTTCTGTTTGAAAAATAGTCTCAATGATGACTTGTGATTAGACTGGACTGGACTTTTGTTGACTGGATTAAATGTTTCTGCATTGGAATTGCACATTAGCACCTTCAACAATAAAGATTAGATAGAAATCGATACCAAGTTTGAATGTTTCGGTGAAAGTGATCAGAACTGCAGACGAGTACCTGTTCTGGTTGATTTTGAGTGATTTGAAAGCTACCTCAAGATTTTAAGACATTAAGATGTATTTGAAAAGCTTGTTGAGGATTTTATATCATATGAAATACCTGACTTGTTCTTGTTTTATCTAATTTGCTGAACCAAATTTGTAAGAGGAATTAATCTCTTTCGAATTATGTCTAATTTACCTTATCTGGATTTCTTCTTGTTTTATCTAATTTGCTGAACCAAATTTGTAAGAGGAATTAATCTCTTTTGAATTATGTCTAATTTACCTTATCTGGATTGCAAGGGCAATCTTGGTTTCTTCTTGGTTTTCTGAACTTCTTTCTGAGCTAGATTGCTTCTTAAGGAATTTCTTGCCTGCTTTTGGTAGTTGTAAGATCGTATGACCTTTGATTTCTTTTTATCAATATGGAGTGATTGCTGAATTTTTGCTTAATTGGTTGGTTATTTGTCCTTTCTCCAGTCCAAGCACTCTTGTATTTATAGGAGAAAAATGATGTTGAAGAAATCTGGATATTTTTAGTTTTGGACTGTCCTCCATTTAATGCACAAGTGGCAAAAGTTTTGTCAGTTAATGCATTGATCATTTTTGGCACCTGGTCATCAATGTTCCTTTTGCAACAACCAAGCTAAAGTGAGCAATAATGCCCAGATTCCTCCAACGTTGGTTCCATAAATACAAATATCCTGGTAGTAGAAAAGAAATTTGTCGAACTTACAATAAATAGTCGTGATTTCCAACTAAAGTAAGTATGACTTCACTTTCCAGCTTTCATGGTCATCAAAGTAATTTGGAGCCTAGTTACCAATGGCGAGGAGTCATTCTGACATACCTTAACATCTAAGAAATTGTGAACTTTGGGCTAAAACTAATTCAAATAATTTTGACCCCTGGATTAAATCACCATTGGTGATAATTTATTTCTTGGTTATCAAAATAATATGAATTTATTTTAATTTAATCCCCTTTTGTTTGAATAGGATGGGTCATTCACCACTTTTGGTAAATAAAGCCCAATACCTTTTTGGAAAGTGAACCCAATGCTTATTTCGGGATGGTGAGCTTATTTCAGGCCCAAACAATGTCCTAAGTCTAAATCGTTTCTAAACAACGGCACTTAATGATTGACCTGCCTTTTAATGATGCCTGCCCTTTTGATCTATTTGCTCCTGCCCGCATCTATTCATTAATTGGATTTTTTGGAAAAGTGGGTATTAACAGCTAGTTAATTCTTGGCAACTCTTCTTCTCCCACAATCTGTCTTCTTTAGAGTATAAAGCTGCAACCTCCTTTACTCTTTTAAAATCATCACTAACCTTAGTTCTTCAATTTGTAGAGTATTTCCAAGCTTTGAAACTTCAAATTTCTTTGAAAAATTCAAACATTTCCCCAATTCTGCCTGAATATTCTCGATGGCTTCTCCCAAAATCCGTGCTGGTAGTTCTTCCTCCTTCCCTCCACCTTATATTTCAAGCGAAGGTGTTTACGCACATGCCATTGAGATTCGAAGCAAACTCCATTCATATTCCAAGAAGAATTTTGATGAAAATACCCCTCATTTGCTCTGGATCGCTATTATTCTGGGTCCTGCCTAGTTTGGGAAAGTGCCTGTGGAAATGGCCAAACTTTTTAAGGTAGATGCTAAAGCTCCATTTTGCTATCATAATCCTTCTCTAATACTCCATTCCTCGGTTAGCAAGAATCTGAGCAGATCATACCCTTCTAATAAAGTGATGAATAGATCCGTGAAGTGATCAAAATGGTTTGATCAACTCTCTCCAAGGTATGAAAGCCATTGGAAGAAAGCTGGCATATATGATGCTTTGCTTATGTGTAAGCATTCAATTAATAGAGATGAGAATCTATTTGCTGCTGCTTTGTGCTTCTGGAATTCTACTCCAAACACTTTTGACTTTCGTGTTGGCCCTATGTCTCCAACTCTGCTCGATATGGCTCAAATATTTGGATTTTGGCCACATGGAAGGCCTGCTGATGCACTTGGAGATTATCACAAAAGGAAAAGTGGTGAAAGAGTAGCAAAAAAGAAGCCCTGCCATTTTTGCCAACGGAATACCACTTTCCAGCAATTATTGAGGCCCATGGCCTTTCATCTCCTATTAATTTAATTGGAGTCTTCTCCATGCTTCTTTGATTTCTCTTTTTCAAATGTCGACCGTTATCCAGTTAAGCTATGTGTTTGCCCCCTGAAAGTGGATTTTTCAAGCAGAACTTGTGCCATTACTTGAACGTGTGGCAACTCAATCTTGTTAAAAACACTGGATTCTGGTATGCCCTATAATTGTGCTTGCACAATCCTGGTGAAGACGTTGGATTCTTGGCTCTGCTGTACTGGATGGATTTATTTAGATGGATTGGATAGCCTTGTTAGGGCACTGTCTTTCTTCTTTGCTAAGTGCTCATCTAACACCTGCCCTTTTGTGGTTGTCTCCAGCTCATTCACACCTCATTTACTATAAAGAACAATTCCAGACATACTAGTTGCCTTTGGTCTGATCAAAGTTTCCTTGATAACCCTCCTGTTTTGATTGGAACCTATCTCCGCTGTCAACTTTCTTTTCTCCTTTTCTAGCCAATTTAGATTTACCATATTAACCTGAGTTTTGGGAAAAGGAATTGTATCAATAGTGGGGACCTTCTCTGTTATTTTCAACTTTCCTGATGCTAATGCTTCTTGGACAACATCCCTGAAAACAACACAGCTATTGGTAGTGTGATTCCAAGAATTATGCCACTTGCAATACTGTCTTCCCTTCAATTCTCCTGACTTTGGCTACATGTGTATAGGTGGTGTATCTATGGCCTTCTGAGATAACATTGCATCAAATTAAGCGTCTAACTTTTATAATCAAAAGAATAAACCTTGTTTGTTGGTTGTTTATTTGGAATGAAACCTCCAGTGAAAGGTGGTGGTTTTTGATCCTTTGGTGCCTTCAGCAAACCTTTACAACTTATTGGCCCTTTTATTTTAGCCAATTCTGCCACCGTTGCCATAGTTTCCTCTGGTTCTAGCTCCTCTTCTGACTCTACCTCTACTAAATGTACTGAAGAGAAGGGGTCTTGTAGTATGTACCTTTAGAAGCATTCCTCTTCTGTTGTTCTTCCTTCAATAATTCTTCATATTTGGTGACCTTATCTGCCAATTCTGCTAAGTCTCCAAATATTATCCCATTGAACCTTTTTCTCAAGGAGATTGTGGGAGTGATTTTCGTCCCTTAGAATATTCGATCAATAGATTCCCTTTTCTCCTTCCTCGAACTCTTTCTCCCTACAAAATCAATCAGAGTAAAAGGAACACACCCGGGGGATGTTGGCCAAAGGCCCTCCGATGCCTAAGTTAGTTCGATTTTTTCGTAAAGAAACAAAAGCTAAAAAGGGTACGGAGATGTATGTATGGTGTGAACCGGGTGGCCAGAGCCGTGTTTGGTGGTCAGAACCTTGTGTAAGAGAGAGAGGGAGGAGCCGGCAAAGAGGGGAATTTCTGCAGCATTTGGAGAGCTTAGAATGGCTTACCTCATGCCTTACATAGCCTCGTATTTATAGAGCCTCGTAAGGCTAGGGTTTAGAGAAAAATAATCCTTGTTGGGAAATGAATTATTTTTCCTGAGTTTAGGAGATTTTAATCAATTAGGGATTTAATGAGAATCAAATCCCTAATTCAAGGGACGAATCCCCACATGGAAGGAAATATTTGACCTAGGGTTTTGCTAGAATTCGGTTCCCACAGAGATCCTCAATGATGTTTGTGCCATTTGGATAAAGTGCCTCTCTTCTATAGGAATTCTGCACTTCATTTTCAACTTTATGAACCAAATAATAAAGTCCAATCGCTGGCTCATTCTCACTCTGCTTCAGTGCAGTTAGATCACTGATGGTGATCTCAGGCTGGATTCTGTAGTTGTAATCATGGAAAGCAGTACTTAGCCTTCCTGCAGAATACAATGGATTAGGACAACAAAAATGGGATTCCTCTTGAAGAACTACAATCTACTGGGATTGTCATTGCAGCTGCCATTGGATTCTATCAAGCCTAAGTACGTGATTAAATAAATTGACAAAATTTAAAGAATCTTTCTATCTTTGCCTATCTATTGAGACCGGTTAAGTGTGAATTACTAGGGACTACTAGGGACTGAAACATATTTGTACTTTTTATCCTCTAATTGATCTTTTCCATGTTTCTCATTTAGAATTGAATTTAGAAGGATATAACCTTTATTTGGATAATATCCAAGCAATATTGTCCAATTACTTCTGATATAAGCCATCTTTAACATTATATTGGGCAGAAAATCAGAATATTTGCCATCTTCAACCTTGGGATTGTGAGATGTTCAAATTTGGTCTACTTCCAGATATTTTTGTATACAAGCTACAATTAGATAATAACTTACTGAAAAATGAGACAATAAAGTGGATGAGGAATCAAAATATATTATATTTTATCATGTTTCCTGGAGAACAAAACATTTAGAATTGTACATGGCTTAAAAGACAAATCTTCTTGTCATCGAGTTCAAAATTGGAGTTATGATTTTGGGCTCAATAGTCTTCGAGAGTTCATGCTATCGTCATTCGACTGCTTCACAAATTTTGTATCTTCGTGCTCAGCTCACAAGCAGTTTGACCATCAAAGAAGGCTTCCCAGATTCATAAGCAACAGAAAAATGTGCATATGATCAATCACAGCCTCTACTTCATCTTGACATGGCGAGTTCTTCTGATCGAACTGAGGCTGATTTGGATATGAACCAGTTCACTTCATTTGCCTTCATTCATACACTTAAGCGGGAAGTGAGATGAATGAAGGTTTCATCACTGCAGGGGATTGTGATACCACCCATTGGATGATCATATCCAAATTCTTCTTCTGCTTGACTCAGCAAATCCAAGAACAAAGGCTCATTCAAGTATGATATTGGAACCACAAATCGCTTCTTCTGGCTCTCCCCAACATACACTGCAAAATAGCCTTTTGGGATGTCTAAGGTCTTTGAATTAGCCGCCTTGTTTAGACCCTTCTTGGAGTGAACAATTCCTGGCAACCGGAATCCCATGGTTTTTATATTCTCAAGTGGAAAATTAGAACAAGAAAGAATTCAAACAGAGAAGACTTTGATGCTTGGCAAGGAGAGAGACTTGAGTTGTTGGTTATGAACCTGATCTCTTGTGTATATATAGATGAAAGAGTATGACCTGCTACATGAAATGAGTGGGAAATCAAAACATAACATGGGTTGTCTTCCCACTCACATAAATCATCTCCACATGCAAATGACCAAACTGTATCCCTATGTACGAACATCATTCCCCACGTCTTATTTCATCAAGTAATTTGTTGTGGTCTAAAGATTGCTAATCTGTTCCTGTCAAGAAACTATGGACAGAATATGTCTGAAGCCTGTTTTGTACTTCAAAGAAGTTTCTATCCGCATATAAAGAGTTTGTAGGTGTCAACAAAAATTGTTGGGCATCATGTTCTCCAACAAACATACAGACTTAATAACTACCAAGTTCTTGAGATTGAGATGGAAAACAGACCATGTGATCCCTCAAATTCTTATGCCTCTTTCCAATCCCCACCCAATTGTCCACATTTCAGATATTTTCCTCTACACACATACATAAAGATGATCCCGTAAACAATTCAAATCCTGAGTCTTTACAAACATGAAATCTACTGTTTGTGTTTTTCTAACATTTTTTGGGTTTTAGAGAGAAACGAAATTGATTCTTGATTATAATTCACTCTGAATGATTACGAGGAAGGAGTTAGCTTTACACAGCTATCCTGTTCTTCACAGATTTTGTAACTAAACTAACAGGCTCGTAGCTCACAACCTAATATTTAATTTATGATGAGTCTTCTGTTTTATCTTGTATTTGTATCTGAGCGCAAAGCACGATCTATCTTGATCAAGGGAATGTACATGGCTCGTACAACTTCAACAGGCATTTGAAGAATATAGAGCTATTGCTCTGACTCTTGAAATTCAGATGCTAGAGTCCCACATGGAAAAAAGTTGAAAGATATAACTGCTTATAAGAACTTACACGAAGCATTGTAATTGATGAGCCATGTAGCGTGGGCTTGTAACTAAGCAAGGTATTAAAGTGACTGGGTATGATGGAGTCCAAGCTGAGTGGAAGAGACGGTTTCCATCTGGTTCACCACCTGGTGGATGAGGTCCTCATCAAGCACGCCCTAAGTCTTGAGGATAGAAGGGCACCCTGCACTTAGGTCTCACCCTCGATGGACATGGGTGGCAAAATCAAACTAAGAAGAAGGGCACCTCACCATTGTAATCTCCTATATATACTTCCTTAGGTTGTCTTTAAGCCCTCAAATCATACTCTCAAATTCAAACCACAAACCCTAAATCTATTTCCTTACCTCTCAAATCAAACCCTCTTATCAAACTACACATACCTCTCAAATCAAATTCCTCTTATCAAACTCCTTAAACACATACCTCTCAAATCAAATTCCTAAAATTCTCAAATCAACTCATTCACCACAAACACAAACCCATATCAAATCTTCATTCCACACGATGTCAGGCCCCTCCAAATACCTCCCACCCCAAACCTTGAACCACAAATTTTCGGCTGTATTGTATTCGTACACTTACATCATCACCAACGAAATAAATTGGATCATCGCGCAAAAAAAGTGTGTTTCATTGGCTAGGCCCCTCATAAAAAAGGCTACTGATGCTATCACTCTCCAAGTCATAAGGTAATACCTCTATGGATATAGTGTTCCGAGAACACGACATATACTTTTCAGAAGCACAGGAAGAGAATCTCAAACCAAACACCCCCGAATTTTTGGATTTTTTCACAATAGACTCATCTCAGAGTCTAAGCGACCGGTCGCCTTTCTTACACAATCGGTCGCCTCCCCTTTTTTGTACACAGGATGTGAATCTGCCTCAAAATGACTGGTGGCTCTCCTTACGCGACCAGTCGCCCCCACCTAGATTTGCACATCCTACGCCTTTGCTTCAAAACGACCGATCACCTCCACGCTACCAAAATCAGGAGGAGGAAGTTGACATTTTATTGAGATTTTGCCCACCTCGGACCCGTCTTTAGCTATAGTACCACACCAATTGCCTGCTAAGGATGTCATTCAGGTAACATCTCCCCGTGAAACTGATAACACTAATGAAATATATCATGACGATTTGATTTCAAAAAGCATAAAGGATATAGATACCCCTATATACCAACTTCCAAAAATAAAGAACCGTGGTAAACCTCAAGTACAGTACGAAGCAGATCTTAAAGCCAAAGGAAAATACCTCATTAATAATTATATATCTCTAAGCAGATTATCAAAGTCACATGTACACTTTGTGAAGCATTTGGCCGATATATCTATCCCAAATAGTGTGAATAAAGCACTAGAAGACTCAAAATGGAAAAAAGCCATGAATAAAGAGATACGAGCTCTCTAGAAAAATGCCATATGGGAGCTCGTGTCTTTACCTTACGAAAAGAAGATTATGGGATCCAGGTGGATCTATATTGTGAAACTCAAAGTAGATGGATCCATTGAAAGATATAAAGCTAGATTGGTGGCGAAGAGGTATACATAGAAGTATGAGGTGGACTACCAGGAGACCTATGCCCTAATAGCCAAGATCAACACTATTTGTAAGATCCCACATCGACCAACGGAGAGGGGGTTGATGTGCCTTATATGTGCATGCCCGCATCCATCTAGCACGATGCCTTTTGGGAGCTCACTGACTTCAGAGTCAGGGGAACTCCGAAGTTAAGCGAGTTGGGGACTAGAGCAATCCCAGGATGGGTGACCCACTGGGAAGTTGCTCCTGAGCTCCCAGAAACAAAACCGTGAAGGCAGAGAGGGGGGCCCAAAGCGGACAATATCGTGCTACGGTGGAGCCGATCCTGGGATGTGACAATTTGGTATCAGAGCCACTCTGTCGTGTGGTGCGAGTGTGCCGACGAGGACGTCGGGCTCCTAAAGGGGGTGGATTGTAAGATCCCACTTTGACCAACGGAGATTTTAGAATTTTTTTAAAAAAAACCTCTCACAAGCGCGGAAACGCGTGTGGAGAGGCTAGTATATATAAAGCAAAAGGCAGAGAATGGTGAAACATTTATAATACCATAAAATGCCTTTGGTTAATGCAAACATTAAGAATTGAAATTATTAATTAAGTGAGGATAATAAGGTAAATTCATATTTTTTTCATAAATAAAAAAAAATTAAAGAAAAATCAGATAATAGATCCTATTTTTATGGAACACAACTACCCATTATCTTTTTTTAATTCTAAAATAAATTTAAATTTTTTTAAAAAAAGCCTCTCGCAAGCGCAAAGGCGCGTGCGGAGAGGCTAGTGTTAATAAAAAGAAAAAATAATTAGGGTGCATCTTTGTACGTGGTTCTAGTCAATTGCTTGCTTGGTATATGCTACAATACTAGATAAATCAAAGCATATAATTCATCATGAGCATCTTCAACCGATATGTCAAATTATCACTGGGACATGAAATGACAAAAATTAAAGATTAAAATTGCTCGAACCGAGTAGTCAAATCATGCATGAATTTAAAGGCTGGAAGATATACGTCAAAAATAACATATCAAAAAACTTGATGTCAAATATTAGTTTAATATTTTTCAGTCATGGAACTCTATTTTAAAACTTTATGCATAATATGTGCTCCATTTGCTTTTTAAAATGTAATAAAATAATATGATATTTGGCACTTTGGGTGGAGTTAAACATTTTTCTTTAAGTGTCAAATGCAAAATGTGACATTAATTAAAAAAAAGAGGCTAAATTATATATTCACAAAACATGGAAGCATATTTTTAAAGAATATTTAACATGTAAGGAATAGAGGAGATAATGAATGTGTATGAGATCAATTAATTTATTGATTATGTAAGAACTTCTCTAACATCCCAAGTGAGATGCATAACCTGAGATCCAACAAGACCATTCTTGCTCCAATGGTCCTGATTGTGGGGTCGTCTCATATGTAAGACCCAACCGGGAAATATAGGAGAAGAAAAATCCAAACTTCAACCTATTGAGATTTAATTTTATGGCTAAAACATTCCTTTTCTTTTTTTTTTCTAGCCGGTAATGGCTGACCATGCTTTTTGTTGATGCCAGAAAAAAGTAAATAAAAATAGGTCAAGTTTCGCTAATTTTCAAAAAAAAAAAAAAAAAAAAAGGCCAAGTTAATATATAAGATAAGATTGATAGACTAACTAGGCTTTTTTAGGTGTATCGAAAATATCTTTGGGTTTTTGGGTATATCTTCCGGATAACCAAAACATCGAAGCCAACAATAACTCTCTCAGTCCTGTGGCTTCCAAGGAAACTTGATTGACACGACAAATCGTTTAAATTCAGACAAATAAATAAATAATATATGGTTCAAATTTTACCATCAGTTGTTTCATTTCACCAGAGATAAGATAAAGGCACAATTTGAAGAGAGAGAGAGAGGGAGAGTCGTACAATTTGACCGCTCTGCTACTAAAACACTAGTAAATATAGTAGTAGTGTGTCTTTGGAGAAAGAAAGTGAGCGAAAACAAGAAAGTGATGGTGAGGAGAGAAGCCCATCTGAGCAAGGATTCGAAGGTGGAAGTTTGTATCAACGAAGAGGGTTACAAAAATGCATGGTTCCCAGCCAAAATCCTTGACCCACAACCCTTAAATCCCTCAACGAAGAAGAAAATGAACAAGCCTTTGGTGCAGTACGAGAATCTGGCCTCTGACGATGACCCAAACAAGCTACTTATTGAGCTTGTTGACGCGATCTCCATCCGGCCAGTGCCTCCTCCTGACAATCCTGACCAGCCCTTCGAGCCTCCCGACGTCGTAAACGCCTTTTACATTGACGTTTGGTGGGTCGGGTCTGTAATGAGGTGTGAGGACCAATGTTTTCAAAGGCGAGGCGTTTTTAGTAGTGCTATGCGAGGCGTAAGCCTTGAAGCGTTGAGGCGTAAGCCTTTTGAACATTAATTTATTTTAATAAGAAAAATTTATGAATAATACAATACAATTAAATTTTACAACTAATTCTTATTGAACCATAGCAATCTTTTAAATGTAAGTACTAATTGTCTTTCAAAGCATAATAATCAATCCCAAAACATAAAATATTTATCTAACATAAACGAATAAGATAACTAATATATTTATAAAAAAAATTCAAAAAAAATTATACAAAACTTCAAATTACAGTTGCGCAGAATTAGAGAGAAAAATAAAATAACTTACTTGCAGTCGAAAGATGAAGAGAATTCTTGAAATTGATGGAGATTATCTGATAATGTTAAGAATTAGGGTTGTACTATACAATATATATATATATAATTCCATGTGTTAATATATTAATTTAAGAGAAAAAAAAAAGGGTAAGTAGAAAAACTACGGCTGGAGATAGAAAAGGCAAGAAGTAATCTTGCCTTAAGTGTAATACAATTTTCGAGGGATAGCACGTTTACAATAAAGGGAAGGAAAAAGAAAAAAAAAAAAAAAAACAGAAACTAGCGTGTTTGCATTTTTTCAAAACACTCCAAGTGAAACGACGTCGTTTCACTTTAAGTTTTTTTTTTATAACACTTCAATCGAAACGACGTCGTTTCGTTACAATAAACCTAAAAAAAAAACAAAGCTGAGTCGTCTTCCTCGCAGCGCCGCAGCCAAATTGCAGACTTTCAAAATTTCTTCCGGTTCAGATCAAGCGCGCCTTGCTCCGCCTCGCTACGCCTTGCAACGCCTCCTTACGCCTTACCTGCGCTAAACAGCCGACCGCCTCGGGCGTTTTCCTGCCGCCTCGCTCCGACGCGCGCTCCGAAGCGCGCGAAGGCATGCCTTTGAAAACACTGGTGAGGACGACAAGTATACGGTGTGTTTCTTAGGCCCACCTGATATGCTTGAGTTTAAGCGCTCTGAGCTGCGCCCTCATTGGGATTTTCTCAACGGCGAATGGGTTCGACCCCGGAAGAAGGTACAAGTTGGTTCTGCATTTTAATAATTATTATGCTTGTGGGTTTGTTTTTTTTAATACAGAATTTGTACTTGGTTTGTTTATTTATGAATTTTCTTTGGTCTTTACCTTTGGTTTTCATGATTTAACAACACGTAGGTTGTTTATTGTACATTGTCCTTGCCCTTGTTGTTCCGCTTTTAGATTCTTCTTTTTCCCCTTAAAAAGATAATCTTTTTATGTTGTTGCACTCAAAAGATCTTTCTTTCATGTCTTCTCTTTGTTTTTTGTATCTCAAATTAGGATCTTGTGATTTTATGGAGTTTGAAGTTTGGATTTATTGAGGTCTTTACTTATATGTTTGCAAGTTCATGCCTTTCCGGTTCATTTGCAATATATCTGGATTCCTTGTATTTTGAGGGATGATAGAAATTTCTATATGCTGTGCTTCTAATAGAAAGAAAATTGATATTTCTCACTAATTGTTCAAAGAGGATGGTGGGATCAGTTTTCAGCCCTGGGACAGCAGTGGAAGTGAACCTCAGCAAAGAACCTATATTCGGTGCTTGTTTCCCAGCAATTTATCTTGGCAAACTAGGGGACAACTCTTTCTTGGTTCAATATAAAAGCTCAAACAACTCTGATGTTAAAGTGATCGTAGATGGCAAGCACATTCGGGCTTACATTGATAAATCAACTTATGGAAAGACAAAAAAGAAACGAAAAACCTACAATGGCAGTCTTCAGATGTTATCAACTTCTTGGAAAAACCTACAATGGTTGCATCATCCTTAGGTGTCTGATTAATTTTTCGTTTCTTTTCTGTCTTTCCATAAGTTGATTTATCAATGCAAGCCCGAATGTGCTTGCTATCTACGATCATTTTAACATCAGAGTTGTTTGAGCTTTTATATTGAACCAAGAAAGAATTGTCCCTTAGTTCGCCAAGATAAATTGCTAGGAAACAAGCACCAAATATAGGGTCTATACAAGAACTCATAGGGTCTATACAAACCTATGAGATGAAACATCTAGCTCCTAAAAAGAGCAAAAGTGTTGCTTTTAAGGTTGTGAATGAAGAAGATGACGGCCATTCAGATGAAGATTGCAGTGATGAGGAATTAACGATTCTCATAAGACGATTTATGAACTTTCTCAAGAATCAGGATCCAAGGAGTCGAGATTCAAAAGGTATAAATTCTAAAAATAGATTTGTTGACTATACTGATGGTGGGTCTAAATTTCACAGGTCAAATGAACGAAAGAATCCAAGAGAAAAGGTCAAATGTTTCGAATGCGAAGTTTATTGACACATATCTTCAGAATGTGCCAACACCTTAAAGAAACAAAAGAATGGCAAGAATAAGGCAATGCATACTACTTGGAGTGACAGTGATTCTGACTCTGAAAATAATGAGAAGGCCATTGCGCTTATCACGACTGTAATCTTGGATGAACCAACGAAGAAGGATGATGATTGTTAAGATATGGATGTTGAGTTTATCATGAACAAATATGATGATTTGTTGGCCGCTTCTCAGAAACTTAGCAAACAAAATGATGAGCTCATAAAATCCATGGCTATGTTGAAGTTGGAAAATTGCAGGATTGCAAACGAGTTTCAATCCCTTGACACAGATTCCGAAAAGGTAAGTGCATGTATGAGTGAAAAATTGATGTTTTTGCAGAAAAAATTAACTGATCAGAATAAATTAATTGCATCTCTAACTTCTGACAACAAAACCCTTGAACTTGAACTTAAAAATTCAAAGAAAAGGATTGTCTCTTTAACCATTGGTGCAGAAAAAATTGACAGGATGATAAGCATGGGAAGAAGAGATGGTGACAAACAAGGCTTGGGATTTGAACCAAGTAATAAGTCTTCCGCTGTGTTTAAAACAAAGTTTGTCAAATCCTCTTCAATTTTGAACCTTCTGCCGCTCATGAAGTCAAGAAATTCATTCCAATTTGTCACTTTTGTAGAACTCGTGGCCACATAAGACCAAGATGCAATAAGCTTCGAAAGGAATTTGTTCGTTCAAATTCTCATGTCATGGGTGGAAAAGTAAGTATCCAACATAAGATTTCAAATCTTATGAAAGAGGTAAACCGTTTATCCAAGCTATCTTCTTTTCATTGTTTGCCGTCAACTAAGACAGAGTTAGTTTGGAGGAAAAAGGAAAATCATAATTGTATGTTTGCCTCTACTAATGCTGTGCATGAACCTGCTGCTTTAGAGAATTTGGATGTTAAATGTCTTGTTGCAAAAAATTTAGGTAATCATCAATTTGACACTCTTAGACAGTCTTTGGGTATCTGTGCTCTAGATTAATTCGGAGTCTACTGCATGTCAAAGCCTCTTCTATGATGTATGATATTTAAATTAATTTTTTTTGTTATAAATCTGTCCAGCTCGTGCAAGGATTGTTAGGTCGTATCAATCATGTAGTTGTCTGTACGTATTTGATGATCTTAGATTGGGCTCTGTCATTGCACTCTATTGAGAACACACACTCACAGCTTCCCACACAGGTTTCCATTGTCTTGATGCATGATAAACTTCATTAAATGATCTATCCATCAATTCTTTGTTTAATTGCACACCACACTCTTTTCTTTGAAGTTCCTTGAATATCTTCTCTCATGCACTTGCCTCTCTTTGGATTGCAATAACACTGCTGTGCGTAAGTTCTTGATCTGTTTATAAAAATAAAAATAAAAATAATAAAAAGGTGATGACTTCTCATTGCTCAGTAACCGGGCCTCTTGTCTAACCAACATCGAGGTTCGAGTCAACAGGCTGTGATGGTTGCTATCCTTGCTTATCTTTGGAGCCTTCATGATTCGGATCAGTATTTCCCCAGGGGTGCCTCATCACCCAGTTGTTTATTGTCATCTGACTTGAGCACACTGATTGACCATCCGCTACATGGATCATGTCGAAAGCTAAATAAAGTGAGCCACAAAATCCATAAAGAAAAATAAAAATCACATAAACTGATCATTATATACTTCCTATGCACTCAGTGTATGTGTTATCCTTAGTGGGATTAGTCTTGGGTGGACATATTCTTTGCGCTTAATTGAACAGAGTTCACTTCCCAGCTTTGCTTCTTGATGGTTGATTCATTTGGTGCTTTTTATCTTTCCCCATGACTGTGGTATGCCTCCTCTTTTATCTGTGAGTTTGTGCGTCTTGTGTGGTGTTGTGCCTTTGTCCCTGCCATGCTTTGCTTCACATGCGTTTCAGCTAGCAATGGGACTGTTGCTACTTTTTTTATCTCGCTCTCAAGCTTGGCATGTTTATGAATGGAAAATAATTATATTTTCAAGAGAGGCTTGGGAGTGTTTTTATGTCTTGAGTTTTTTTTCTTGATGATTTTGTTTTTGTTTTGTGTTTTATGTCTTCAATGATTGTTTTGGTTGGATTCTTAAAAACTTCTCCGTATTTCTTCAGTTTGCAAATTTTTTTTCGTTTTTTTAAAATTTATTTATTTAACCAAAAAAAAAATTCCCACTTGGTATCATTTTACGCCTCCTATTGCTAGTGTAGAAATGGAATTTGAAGAATTGGAATCAAGAATACTCTCAAGTGGAAGGGCTGTAGTATGATGAAACATTTACTCTTGTTGCTCGTTGTCATCTATTAAATTGATGCTTGTTGCTGCAACTTATTACTTCCACACATATATGCCTCTTATTTTTCATTTTTTTTTTCTTTTTACTGAGTGTTATTCTTGTGTTTATTATTGGCATATATTTAGGGGGAGAATTATTTTTCCAATGCACAAGATGATACGATCATGTTTACATTTCTTTTCAAACGTAGTGTCGTTTATCCTTCTTGTTTAATTGTGCAGCTAGGTCTTGCTTCATGTTGCATCTCAACCTTTGCATGAATATCAGAATTACTAAGACAGATGCATGATAAATTGATCTGAGGATTGTAGTGTCATTATCAATCCTGTCAGTTGCAGACCTGTGGCACAACATGCTCACAAGAACATTTCTTTGTTTATATGATTGAACCACAGAGGTAAGTATGTGGCACAAAAAGGGGACAACAATCAGCAGTTCTGCCGTTCAGCACGACGTTTTGCATGAAAGCTGTCTTGAACCATATTGTCTACCACATCAATGTGCATATAGTCTTGCCGTTCAGCAGAACGTTTTGCTGCTTCAAACAAATTAAAAACCACAGATTGGTCTTGAACTCGTAAAGTTAATGTTCCAACTTTCACATCAATTAAAGTCCTAGCTGTTGCCATAAACAGTCACCACAATGAAGAGCAAAAGACATGTCAACACAGAGTTAAGTTTCATATATTGTTTATATGATTGAACCTAAACTTGTGTATGTTGTTCTTGTAGGTGTTGCATGGATCTTGGTTATGACAAATGAGACTTTTGCACCCATTGCACATCTGGAATTGATATGCTCCCTTCTATTCTTTCCTTGCCCTTTGGATTTCCTAACAAAAAGGGGGAGAGATGACTGTGTGAAATTACGATAAAAAGGGGGAGAGATTGTGTTCTGGAATTAAGGGGGAGTTGTGTTGTAATTTTGCTTTGAATTACATTTCTTCTCCCACATGCGTCACTGGTTTTGTTGTTTCATAATGTAAAGGGATTCAGAGCTTTGAGTTTAGAGTAGGATTTCATTTGTTAAATTCCATGCAATTTCTCTTGAGTTGTAATAGGTGTTTGTCTAGGAAATGCCAAAGGGGGAGATTGTTAGTATGAAAATTGGATTGTCATTTCCTAGACTCTAGCTAGGAATTGTTACTGGACGTTTTGGCACAACTCTCTCAACCCCATACTTCCGTGACATGACCTGACCCTATGAGAAACTTGACAACAGGTAAATCATGACATAATCATGCATACATTATAGAATTCCTAGTTGGAATTAGTTTCACTCAAGTATTTTTATGTTAATCCTATTTTTAATATGATTAGATTTTATCTCTTGATATTACTTCCTACTTGGTTGGTCTAATTCATTTGTTTTAATAGATATTGTTTTTCTATTAAAGTTTAGTTGGTTGGCGTCTTTTCTAAGAATCCATTTTAATCAAAACTAATAGTCATAATTGATTAACATATGTGGTCCTGTACGTCTTTACTAAGAGATTATATTGGATCAAGTTTTGGAGTCTTAGTTGAAGAGGTTTGCTATGAGTTCATATTGCATAAGGTTTTGTAGTGTGGTAGTTGAATAACGTGAAAGTCTTTGTTCAATTGGATTGGTGGTCACGTGGTTCTCTCTCTAGTTAGAGGAACCTGTTTTGCATAAAAGCATTCGTTGTTTCTTTTTCGAAGTCAAACTTTTCAAGGCATTTGCATCCTTGAGTATATTGAATCTTTTTGAAAAGCTGCCGTGCTTATTTTCTTAGATAAATCATCAAGTGTTCCTTGTTTACTTGGTGATTTATCAAATCCTTTCTTCATTTATATTGCATTCATATGCATGTCAGTGACCCATACGGTTGAGGGCACCAAGACCGTGGTGGCGATTTTCCTCTGGCGAGCTTGAAGCAATCGTGACCAGTATTGCGTTCAACATAAGGAGTATCGAAGATCATCCCGTGATAGAAATTGAGTTACGAAGAAGTCGGTAAACATTATGTAGAATGTGTCTAGTGCCAAGTTTGCAAGCATCCTTTTTCTATCTCTTCAACCGTTGAGAGGGTTTTTATTTAAATTAATTTTTTGCCGAAAATGATTGCTAATTAATTACAGTTTTACTTTTTCCTTTTTTGTTTATTGTAATGAATAAGAGTACAAATGGAACATCGTCAAAATTGCTAGACAAAATTTAATGGATGCATGAACTATGTAATATACATCAGTAAGAATAAGCAATTTCTGATCTATAAAGATGTTGCTTCCTATTGCTTTCACCATTATTTCCACCAAAAAGTAAAATTTATAGCTGAAAGTTAGGTCAGTTTCGTACACCTAGTAGATCTAAAATGTTACTATACCAGAAGGCTTCGGTAGTTTTAACTTCCTACATACACTGCGTCCTATCTCTGGAAATATCCAATTCGGAGTGCATGAGGCTAAAATTGAGTGTCATTATATATTGTTAGTGAAAAACTTTGTGATTAGGAAATATATCTTGACAAATTGATTATAACAAATGAATGGAAAAAATTAGAAATACCTGGATAATAGTTATGGAACGGTTAGAGATTGAAATTTCAACTGGCCGGCAAGAAAGGAAAAGGGAGAGAAACCCAGAAACAATAGAAATGCGTGGCATGGGAGGGAGCTCCCTATTATGTCACCTCCTTAGTATTCAATTAAGAAAATGTAGAGAAATTAAGAGGATCCTTCCCAGCCACCCATCTCCATTGGCCTTTGGGAGGCCTATCTCCCATTTCAAGTCAGCCAATTCTAAGAGTGTATTATGCTCTCAAGATTTAGAGCCCCTTTACTTATAGGGAAGCCAAGGGTACATAAGTTCAAAAAATAACCTGTAGTGCCCATGGTTTTCATACTATGAGGAATCTGTGTGCCATTGTAGTTGTTTCACCACATGTTTTGGCAATTTTTCAGAGGAAGGGATAAGGAAAATTGGGTTGGTATTCTTGCATGCTTCCCACACGTCGTAAAATAAAGTCTTGATGTACCTACTAAACTATTTCTTTTATCAGTTCACATGATGAACATGATGAGAGAGATAAAGAGAAACCGGTCGATTACATCTGACACCTATGAACAGAAAAGAATCCAAAACTATGATAGGTTGGTGAGGGGAAGTTATGTCTTTTGTTTTCCAAAATTGGATTTTGGATTTTGTGGATATTAGTGCCAGTTTTTGCGCCACTAAATAATTCAATTGCATAATCAAACTTAAAACGAAAGTTACAGGAGGTATGTTAGATATTTACTATTTTCTCAAACTAGTGAATAATTCCTCATTCACTTTGTTCAACTTTTCTATTATTGCTAGTTTTAGAATTTTTGAGTTTCTATGGATATTAAGATTAAAAAAAAATCAAATTAAAGATCGACATGTATCTCATAGGAAAAGGGAAAATAGAAAATATACACAATGGTTCACAGAAGAATAATGAAATTTGATAATTTTTGTCAATACTTATAATTGTGGGATTGCTGAGAAGATTTTTCTAGTGGACAATGTGAGAAGTTGATTTAGCTATCTAGTTGATCTTACACTGAATGGCGCTAGGGTGTCACTAGTACTGTAAAGATGAGTGAATTTGAGACTGCTTGTGGACCAAGAAATCTAACTTCTAACCAAGCCACCGTAAATCAAGTGGGAGGTGATTTGGTATAAGTTATTTTCTTGACTTACAAGTAATAAAACTTGAATTCTTTGTGAATAAAATGGAAATTAAATTAGAGAAATCTAGAGAAGATGTAAGAAATCACCAGTGCAAATTGGTGTAGAAAACAGATCTTGCTCCAAAATATATAAAGTAAAAAGGAGTCACTGCCTTCTACTTCATTATATATGTTCTTCCTTGTTGGACTATGAATACTATTGGGCTTCTAATTTGTTGCACCAAAAACCCATTTACCGCAATGGGCCATTCATCGGGCCTCTATAAATTCAGGTCCAATCAACATTTATATGGAGATGAATGCTAGATTGGAAAATCCATGAAATCTGCAGTACGTGGTGTGGAGGCTATATGGTGTGGTGGGGATGAAGGGGGAGACATGCATATGAAGGATCACATGGTTCTGTCTTCAAGAATTTGGCAATGATTGAGACTTTATATTCCTTGCTAGGACAGGAAGCTAGAGAAGTTGCTGACTCTAATATATCTTTATGACAGTATGTTTGTCAAAAAGAAAAAATCTTGGCATGCACCTATCAATAATACATGGCTTATTTAGCTACATGCCCCTTGTGCTTTTCAATTTGTCTTAGATTACCACCTGTGTTTGCAAACGTCTCAAAATACCCCCCAACGTTTAAAAAAGGGTCTCAACTTACCCGTTCCGTTAGTATTTTTGACGTTCCGTTACAAGCTTTGGGCCCCACTTCGTTTTAATCTTTAACCTCTTCGAATTAGGGTTTTTCACTTTCAGAGAGGAGGAAATTGGGTATTTGGGTGAGAAGGGGAGATTTGGAGAAGGCTAGGGCTTTTGCAAAATCTGAGGTGGGGTTCGAATTTTGGAGAATCTGGAGAAGTTGCAGCCCATTAAGCTCGACAGATTCTCAAATGTGCTGGGAATGTCCAGAATCAACCCCCTTCTCTCTCTTCCTCTTTCCTCACCTCCTCTCTCCACCTCCCTCGTATTTCTCTCTTCCTCCTGGCGTCGACTGAATCTGGCTATCGGTGATGACTTCAAGTGGAGGTGGCACACTGTCATCGCAACCCCAGTGAATTGGACTGAAGAAAAAAAAGGGCTTGCTCAACTTACTGCCAGCATTCCCAGGCATTTGTACCTCCTCCTCTTTCTTCTTCTCAATTGGCTTCCCCATTGATATTTCAAGAATATGCAGCCAAAGAAGAAGAGCCCAAAACCAAGGAGAAAGAAAAAAAAATATCCCAGAAAAATCAGAGGAAGAGATGCATCCAAGAAGAAGAGCCCAAAACCAAGAGATGATATGAGGAGAGAGATGGAGAAAGAGAAACAGAGGAAGAGAGAGAGGGGGGTTGATTCTGGAGTTAAAACGAAGTGGGGCCCAAAGTTTGTAACAGAACATCAAAAATACTGACAGAACGGGTAACGTGAGACCATTTTTTAAAGGTTGGGGGGGTACTTTGAGACGTTTTAAAACCCGGGTGGTAATCTGAGACAAGTTGCAAAGCACAGGAGGCATGTAGCTAAATAAGCCATAATACATTAAGGTTTTTCTTCCCACAGATAATTTGTTTTTCTAAGGGTTTTCAGAAATCTAGTTAATAGCTCATGCAGTCCTTTCTTTTTCTTTTTTTGGCATTCATTAAAATAAGAACCCCTTCTGCCCTAGACCCTACGACCTACACCGGTTTATGCAAGCTGGAATATTGTCCTCAGAAAATAGGACCCCCTATCTTTTTAATTTTGAGAAACTGGAATATCAAATATAATTCAAGGTCCCAATCTGTGTGAGGAACCATGTAAAAAGTTATATGGTAAGCATTTTAGTCCAATTCTTGTGCAAATCTGCTGCCATTTGGGGATTACCTACAACAAGACAATACTCTAATGCAAACAATAAGACAAGAAAGGATGAGGATTTAAAATATATTGTATTACTCCCACATGCTCCTGGAGAACAACAAAGAAGTTTACACATGTTTAAAAGGCAGAATTTGACTGCCTTTGGGTGGGGGATGATATTTGGACCAATGGTTCTCGGGAGTTCATGATATCATCACTTGTCTGCTTCATAAATTTCTATGTTTCTGCTCAGCTCAGAAGCAGCTTCAGGATTTGAGAAGGTTTGCTTTCAACACTAGATGTGAGTTGATTCAGTGGATGATCAATGGTAGCCTCTTCTTCATCCCAACTCAGTGAGTTCTGAAATGAGGATGCTTTGGATTTGATCATATCCAGATTCCTTCATCTTGGCTCAGTGAGCTCTGAAATAAGGATGGTTCGGATGGTTCGGACGGCTTGGATGACCGATTCGCGTACACTCACACACTTAAGCGGGAAGTGAGATCAAGGAAGGTGTTTTCACTGCAGGGGATTGTGATACCTCCCATTGGATGATCATATCCGAATTCTTCTTCAGCTTGACTCAGCAAATCCAGGAATAAAGGCTCATTCAAATATGATATCGGAATCACAAACCGCTTCTTCTGTCTCTCCCCAACATAGACTGCAAAGTAGCCTTTTGGGATATCTAAGGTCTTTGAATCAGCTGTCTGGCTTGAAATAGATAGAGATCGAATGAGACTTCTCTTTGCGTTAACAATTGCAGGCAACCGGAAACCCATGGTCTTATATATTCTCAAAGGACAAAAGAAGAAGAGAAGGAATTCAAAGGACCTGGATTTGGAAAGCAGAGAAAGCTTTGATGCTTGAGAAGGTGAAGACTTGAGTTGCTTATGATGAACTTGGTCATGTGTATATATAGATCAAGGGTATCCAAAAAATCAACAGCTACATGAAATGATTGGTGAAGAGGGCACTGAGATGGGCTCCAATGAGGGACACTTGATTTTGAGAAATCACATGGGCTTGTCGTCCTTCTCACGCAACACATCGATCCTCGAAAGATTTCTCACGGAACTCTTCCCTACCTCCTCTAGGTAACAGACAACAAAAGGACCACCAGAGGTGATTCAATTCAAAAGAATTATGTCTGTTAGGTAAGTAGCATTTATTCGTGAGACATGCACTTCTCTTTGTTCACACTAATTCAACTGACCACATAATCGGACTAGTTTACTACAAAGTTTCTTGATTAGGTCTGCTAATGAATTGCCCTCTCACTTCATCAAAAGACCAACAACACTGCATATGTGGTGGTCCTACCCAACACTGATACAATTTTGTTGTGTGGTGCTAAATAGCTTGCTTGGGAGCAGCAAGGCACCCTATCATGTGGCTTTGTAGTTTCGTCTCTGATCTTCAGTCTCAGCAAACAAAGGAGGTATTTATTTCATTTTGTTAGGCCAATCT